CTCCAACAGCTTCACCCTCAAATGTGGCAGCACATCAACGCCACCAACAGCCACCAGTTACCACTAACAGCCCAGAACGTGGACATGCACAGCCCTCCTGTCCTCAGTGAGCGCTGGATTGCCAACATGCAGCGCTGGAGTGGTTGTAGCGCCAGCACACACAGCCGCAGCAGCACTCCAGATACAATCGTATGGAAGGAGGGACACTCGCGCCCCTCCAGTCTTACCCAAATAACCTCTTGGTCTGGAGCGCCGGACTCTCCCCCCGTGTTCAAACCAACCTCCTCGGCTGCCACACATTCTCCCTCCCCCTTGATCGCGCCCCTGCAGGCACCGACGTTGACTTCTCCTTCTCTTCTCACACTGAACGCTCAACAGCGAAAAGATGCACTCGAGACCCTGCATTCCCCCTCTCCTCCTCGGTCACCGCTGCAGGCGTCAACCTCCTCGCCCTTACCGTCGAACTCCCCCGATCTCCAACACCTTACCGGCCCGAAGGACGAGGATTCCTGGAGAACAACGTGCTTTCTTTTACATTCCCTTCCCCGATCCCTTCGTCTGTTTGCATAGCAGAAGGAGACGCGACGTCAGATGCCGGATGCCTTGACGATGTGATAGAAGCGCTGCAAAGTCCCGGAAACGCACAGTTCTTGGAGAGGGGAGGAGGGAGAAGCCCCGTGCAAATGCTAAGTGGTTCTTGTCTTTCTCTTTTCAGTCCTGGAGGCATGCGGTTATCAGAAAGTGGGGAAGTGAGAAGCCCGGTGCAACATTTTGGCTACGTCAAGCCTGACTTTTGTCCCTCGCCAGATAAACACAGTCCTGGAGACACACAGTTATCAGAGAGTGGAGAAATAAGCAGCCCAGTGCAAATGTGTGGCTACCTGGAGCCACCTTCTCAGGCAGAGGGACAAGAATCAGAAAGCAAACCTCCAGTGTGCCGTCTTCAGCTTCCATGGCAGCCGGTTCAGAGCTTTTCAACAGGCAGAGAACGGAGGTCACCCCTGGTTTCTTCTCTGAGTGACTCGCGGTTGGGTGAATGCTGCAGGTGCAACGTAAACATGAGAGACGGCCTCATAAATGCTCCAAAGGGCGAAGTCTTCCGGGTGGGGGGTACGCCGACTTCAAAGCTGCGGCTGGTGGACGCAGCGGTGCAGACGATCTCGCCAATCGGCTCTTTTTGGGATCTTAGGAGGAACACTTCGAACTCCAACATGGACTCTCACTCCCTCTTGGGTTCACCGCCCGGATCGAGGCTCAACCTGATCTCCTCAGTGGGATCGAACTCTAATCTGGTTTCCCCGTCTTCAAGCATGTTTCCTGTGAGCAGCGAAGAGGAGGAGGAGGAGAGTCAAGAAGATGACCCGGCGTGGGAGATCAACTCTCCGTCCTCACACAATCCAGAGAGAAGAAGGTCATGTCTGAAGATGCAGGGCGAGAAGCGGGACAAGCTGCACAGGAGGAGCAGCATGAAGCAGGTGCAGTGGGATGAGGAAGGGATGACGTGGGACATTCACGGAGCAGCTGTGGACCCGGAGGTGCTGAGCACAGCCATACGGAAGCATCTGGAACTCAAGAACAGCCCCCAACTCGCAAAAAAACCAGCAAAGAAGAAAAAGAAAGCACCAAAGCCTCCTCTCATATCAAACGTAGTGAAGGCCATGACCCCAGAGCTCAATCCGCCCGCGCTGATCATTTCATCAGCTTGTATGGTGGAGCCTGAGAGTGAGGACCTACCAGAGGCAGAAAAAGAGGGTCCGGTGGCAGAAAAAGGAGCAGGTGCAAAGGAGGAAACAGCAGAAGCTCCTCGTAGAATAAGCAGAGCGGAGGCAGTTGATGCCGAAGAAGATGAGGAAGTGTACGGCGGGGAAGGCTCCGGCCAACCCAAGTCGCCCTCGCACAGCAGTGGACAGAGCCGCAGGAGGAATGTAATCCGGTCACTGAGGCCCGGGTGGTGTGGAGGCTCCAGAAAGGCAGATGACTGACCATGCACAAGTGATTTAGGGTTTTTACTTTCCATAGCAGGTCAAATCCTCAGTGTGCACTGAAGCAAAACCAAAACACTTTGCAAAGCTCAGAGACTGACATCTTTAGCTCTGACCTCCATTTGGTTTCATCCTGCTGCTGGAAAGATCTTTTTTTGTTTAGTAAAAAGGAACCGATGCAATGTTAGAAAATTATTTTCAACAGCCAAGAGCCACTGTTTCTGAAAAATGATTTCCAAATTCCAACTTCTGTTATTTCTGTCTGATTTCACACTCACAGCAATGAGCTTAACCGGGTTAGTTAGTTTTAGTTTGTAGACTCACATTTTAAAGCCACAAATTGGTAATCAGCCATTTAACCTTATTTTCCAGGTCATAAATAACCTCAAATAATCAGGACTCTATTCTGGCTGAGAAGTTGCTGTGGTAGTAGTTTGTCAATCCTAAGGCGGCCAAGCTTGATTTTCTTTTTCTCTCTCAATGGGACCATCATTCACAAGATGAACTACACGCCTGAAACTCAAGAGGAAAGTGTTTGTTGTGGTATTCAATTAAGATTTCATGTAATTCTCTCAGACCTCTACGGCTGAGAGGCTAAAAGTGTCAAAATCTGCAGTTCCTCAAACGGCCACTTGAGGCTAGCTCCAAGAGTGAGTCACTCCCCGTAGACCCCCTCGTGTTAAAATAGCTACATTAAAGTTAATATTAAAATGGAATCATGGAACAAAAACCTTTTTTTTTTTTTTTTTTACAGAGATCGTTTCAAGCCTGCATGAGAAATGTAAATGGAGTTCATTTTTATAAAACACCGTTTTTATGATGTCAAAGTTTTAAGTTATGTATGTGTATTTGCAGGGCCGGCTGTAAGAAGCAGGTGAAAAGTCTGCCAGGTGTCACCGCAGCTCATTTTAGTCACTAAAGCTGACATCTTTGGGATCCAGTATCCACCGACCCACTTGAGGAAATGTTGTAAATTCTGGCTCATGAAAAAAACAGGATAGAGTCAGCCAACAAGAAACACTTAGTGATGGGTAGAAGTTTTCATGGAATTCAGTTACCGGTAATTAAGACAACTTGAATAAGGTCATACATTTTCTATGAATATATATGTTCAATAAAACAGAGCGTCACTCTAACATGTTGTGCTTTGTTTGGAGATTTAAAACCATTAAAGATTTTATCATGAGCACATCTTTGAGAGACCCGTTCTTTCATCTTCCATGCTATTTTAAATTCACCCACTGTTGAACAGGGTGATATATCAGTGTTAAAGAGTTTTAACTTTTGTTTTTCATATTAACAACTAGATCTGTATAAAAATAAAGTTAGATCCTCAGCATCTTCTGACTTATCGGCTACACATTATGACATTTCACTTTTACTTTTCGAACCAGGTACAAAAATACGTAGCTAGTTAACATTTTTCTTTTCAATAAACAAAAGAAATGTTTTAATCAAATTTGCATTCAATCTTTAAACCTATCAGAGCACGAGATGATCTATTCTTCTTGATTTAAGACCAAAACCCCAGAGATGATCTCCGAGTTTAGAGCTGAACAAACGAGCATGTCCGAGGTTAAAAACGACATGAACACAGGATGTGATTCAGCTTCACTCTCTCATCCCACCATGAAAACATTCACAAAGTTGAGTCGCATGCAAACTTGGTGAACCTCAGTGTTAAAGGTTTGACCATTCAGGCGCTACGGTTCAGTTGAGCGGGCACATTCTCTCTCATTCACTACAGGAAAAAAGCTCAACTCGCCAGCGGCTTCCACTGCGGTTGTTGTTTTCATATTTTCAAAAATGTTTGTAGAGCTGGCGAAAGGACTCTTTGGTTTGTTTATTTGTGCATTCTTAATTCCTGGTCTGAAATTCTCTAAATATTCAAGAAAAACAGTTTGTATATATATAAGTGAGAGCTGTATACATTTGTAAAAGTGTAAAGTAATCTGTCATTTATTTCTTTATTTTTCAAGATTGATTTTTGGGCTTTTTACGACTTTATTGTAGAGATAGGACAGTGGATAGAAACAGACATCCGGGAGAGAGAGAGAGAGAGAGTGGGGAATGACATTTCATGACATGAAAGAAGCCACAGGGCGGATTTGAACCCGGGCCGCCAGCTTTGAGGACGGCAGCCTCTGCGCGCCTGAGCCATTCGACAACCGCTGTCCCTGTAATTAAGTTATTATTTGAATCAAAATCAGCTTTGTTTATGTGTAGCCTACATGAAAGAACTTTGCCTCTGGGTAACTTTGCTCTTTATGTACAAGCATCAACAATTAGATATTTCACTAGGTTTTTTTTTTAGCCTACATGAGACAATAATTCAGCCGTGACGTCATTATGTAGCAGATCGATACGTTTACATGAGGCCGACCGAATCACTGCAGTGCTAACATTTAGAACAACATGACTCCCTCTCGTTTGATGTCTTTTAAGTATGCGTTCTCACTCTATTCAGTAGTTGTGAAAACAGTTCACTTTGAAACTGAACTTTTATTATTACCAGAAATGTGTGACTGCGGGATCACCAGCGTAGGGATTCCTCCTCTGGGAACAAGAATGAAAAGTGATTCAGGCCATTTTCAGGGCAGATACACACTTGACATGTGTTTTTACCTTGGACTCATTGAAACGATTAATCCTGTAGATGTGGGATATGAAAGTAAAGGGTCATGTTCAGGTCACTATGTCACCACTCTAGGTCATGTGGCATGATGTGATGTTTGTTGACGTACAGTGCAGTATTGTCTTTGCGCTGTGTGCATGTTGCTGTACTGTGTACTGCGAACTATACGTATGTGAAAGTGCTGATGGGACTCCCTGAAATCCTCTTTTTCTCAGCGGCAGTGGAAACTCATCGCTAGAGGAGAACAATCCAGTTGCTGGGGCTTTTTGTTGTGACACAGCACATTGTCCCCGGAGGTGTGCTGTTGTGTGTTCATGTGTGGGTGTGTGTACTTGTGCATGTACATCCACATGTGTTCACTGCCTGGTATAAATAGCGTGGGATGTGTGCCGGCCGCTGATTCTGTAGATGAAGATGGCTGTACCTGGACCTCCTCTGCTTCTCCTTCTGTCTGTGCTGCTGCCGCTGCTGCTGAGCGAGGCGTCTCTGCCTGCAGATGCGTACACACTCACCCCCGGGCGACAGCCACAGCCCAAGATCCTCCACCTAGGTGAGGACGGACATCAACACTTCAGCAAAGTCGCACTCATTTTAGTGTGTTTGTTTTTTTTTCACGTGTTCTTCTCCTCTTAGACTGGCCTAGGGATTGTGGCACGGCTCACTTCAAGCCCAACATGGCCGAGAGGATTGTGTCTGGAAACGAGGCAAGACCTCACTCCTGGCCCTGGCAGGTCTCACTTCAGGTAAATGTCTTTCTTTAGGTTTCAATACCTCGGGTAGAAAGGTGTTGAATCAGCGTTTACTGTTTCACACAAAACTTTGGCTCACTTGCTAACCGAACAAGAGGCAACTACACCATCAATTGGCAAAACTCAAACCCTCATAGGGGCCACAACTGATGATTGTTTTTTTTTAATCATTCGTTGTTCTTTTTGTTTTTCTGTGTTAGCGCACAAATATAAATGTGACTTTTATTCTTACTTCTAAGTTGATAGATAAGCTTATACTACTGTTCTACATGTACTAGAAAGAGTTTGAAAAAAAACCCCACTTATACGGTAGAGGGGGAAACAGTTGAAAAATCAACTCACCAGCGCCCTCTGGTGGACAAACACTGATTTGTCTCTAAATAACAAACATACAGTACAGTGTCTCTGAAATCTCTAAGCATTTTTATGGTTTCTAAAAGCCAGACCTAAATGGTGAGCCCTCTACATTTAGTAAGCTTATATCTGGTAATTTAGTGGAACAATTTAGTAACTTCTAAAAAAAAAATTATTTAAGGGCCACACTGAGCAAAGCATATAAGATCACGAGCTTGATTTTTAAATAATCTCACAACCACTGAGGATGTTGTCTCCTACAGGTTCGTCCAAGGGGAAGTAAACATTACATTCATGTCTGTGGAGGAACTCTCATCCACAAGAACTGGATCCTTACTGCTGCTCACTGCTTCCAAAAGTAAAAAACAAACCTGTCTATATCAACACAAAATAGATGTTGCAAAAAAAAAAAAAACCACAGCACCAATGTGAACTTCAAAGGTCTTACTTTAGCTGTGTTTTGTTTCCCCTCAGGGGTAAAGCTGAGGATGCCGGGAGCTGGAGAATCGTCCTGGGGAAGCACCAGCTGAAGCGCTCGGAGCATGCGGAGAGGATTTTCCCCGTCAAGAGGATCTACCGGCACGAGAACTTCCGTTACCCCGCTCACAGCGAGCTGGACTACGACATCGCCCTGGTGAAGGCCGGCACAGACATCGTCCCTTCGAACTTCATCCGCTACGCCTGCCTGCCGCGCAAGCAGATCAACCTCAAACCGGGACACTACTGCTGGGTGACAGGCTGGGGAGACACCCGGGGTGAGTGACATGAAAGAATATTTGACATGTTTTTAGGGACATTTTAGAGTTTTTTTGAATTCAAGTAAGGCCAAAATATTATACAGAGGACATATTATCCCCCTTTTTCACATTTTTAAACAGTCCCCTGTGGTCTAAATGAAACATCTGTGCTGTGCTGAAGTCAAAATATAACATGAATCAAGCCCCAGAGGAGGTTTGTGACCCTGTATAAACCAGCTCTCTCAGAACGCTCCGTTTTGGTGTGTGTGTCTCTTTAAATCCATTCAGCACTTCAAATTAGAACTACAAACCTGCAGGAAAAGTCCCATTTCTAAGCAAAGCCTGCCAGATTGACTACAAATCAAGACATTTAAACCAAAAATGCAGTTAAAGCAACAAACATTTCCTCCAACATGTCTCAGGTGGGAAGGAGAACGTGTCTCTGGCTGAAGCCCTGAATCAGGCTCGCCTGCCCATCATCGACTTCAAGACCTGCAGGCAGAAGAAGTTCTGGGGCGATCGTGTCAGAGACTCCATGATCTGTGCCGGGTTCAGGGACACCGAGGGCCCTCCTGCAGCATGCCAGGTATGGCTAATTCACCAAAGTACTAAAACAATCTACTCCATGTCATTTCCCCTCTGACTCATCAATCACCTCCTTACTCCTCCTCCCAGGGTGACTCTGGCGGTCCTCTGCTGTGCCAGCTGGGGCGGGACCGCTGGGAGGTGCACGGCGTGGTGAGCTTCGGCCCCATCGGCTGCACCGTGGAGAACAAACCCAGCGTCTTCACCCGCACCGCCGCCTACATCCCCTGGATCGAGGCGACACGCATCAGGGACTTCTTCCTGCACTAAGTGGACTTTACCTGACCCGACAGCAAACATAAGCTCTGCTCTGTTTCATGTCGTGTTTCCTTCACATTGCATTCATGTTCACCGCAGACATGTTCAACATTTTATCAGTTCTTAATGTGCAATAATTATTTTCTAAGTCTAAACTATGAACGGCTGTGGTTTTCAAACAGCAGAACGTTTTGACTGCAAGGTTTCACACACCTCATGACCTTTTCGAATCCAGTCGACACTTGTGCAATAAAATTGGTCCAAAGCAAAATATTTGGCAACATTTCTCTTTTTTAAATTTTTTTTATTACATTTTTTTTTTTAATGCAGCGGGTTTGATGGAATACATAAACAGGACGCACCTTCAGCACAGCTTTACAGTGATTTCTTCTGGCGCAGTAAAACAAAAAACCCACCGCTAAGACGCACTGAATAAATACAAGAGTAGAACAGACCGTAAGGCTTGGTTCTGTGTTTAGTTGGAAATCTCAATCGCTCTCCTTCAACAGACGAGTCCTTCAGTCCAAAATCAGAATGTGAATCTGAAGACGCACATCAGATGTCCCACGTCAGGCTTCACTGACATCCAAACAAGACTTAAAGCAGTCTTTTACACACAATTATAAAACAGAAAACACACATCTTTGAAACATCCTCAGACACTTCTTATTACTGATCTGATCAATTAGAAAGAACACCACAAAGGTTAACAACGGGTGGTGTTATAGGACGGTCTACGTCTGGATTGGAAGTGTGTTCTAGTTCCCCATTTTCACAGATTCACAGAATGTGGTTGTAATGAGGGGGGGGGGGGGGGGGACACCAGTGAACTTGGACCAACTCACGCTTCCCTTTAAGCACACCGCATTTGACCAGAGTCTAATTCCTCTTAGCGCTGTGGTTAAAGGCCGTGTAGCGGGAGAGACGTTTGGCCCTAGTGTGGAAGCAGATGTGTGTGGTTGGAGTTTAGTACAGCCTGGACGATGAAGACGAGGAGCCGGTGATGTGGTCCCAGTTGTTGTAGAGAGCGTAGGCACCAGACAGAGCTAAACCAGCGAGACCTCCTCGTGCTACACCCTTAAGGCCACCTGCAATCGCATGAGAAGAAGGAGGAGCAATGAAACTGTGCATTGGCATCAAATACACAAACGTCTTCGAGATCTTCAACCAGTCCAGTTTGGATCAAGCTTCAAATGTACCTTTACCACAAAGAAATCATAATGGGAGGTGTTCCAGCCAGTGGTGTCCAAAGTGGTGTCTTTTTTTTCTTGCGGGCCAAAATTGTCGTGTTAGAATCGCCGAGGGCCACAGGTTTTTTTTTTTTTTTTTTTTTTTTTTAAATATAGTTGAAAAAATAGTAAGGCTCTGTAGATCAGAATCAAAAGGCTCGCTAAAGAAACCCTTTAATAAAAGGAAATCAAATGTTTTGACTTCTTCGTTCTACTTTATTTGTTTTTTTCTCAGAATCAAGCCTGTAACGTGGTTCATTTTTTTTTCTTTTTAAAGCTTTCTGCATTTAGCTCAGGTCATTAAGTTTTTTTTCATAGTTTACAAAAAATTTTGGAAAATAGTGAAAGCTGTAGATTTAAAAAAAAACAAAAAAAAAAACAACAACATACATGTTACTGAACATTTTCTATTTTAGGAACATTGATCAGCCCTTGTTAACATGAAAAAGAAAAATAAGATAATGTGCCGATCTTAATCAAGGCCTCCAAAATCTTCTGATTCTTCATTTGAAGTCACGGCCCGCAAAAAAAAAAAAATCCCCTCAAGGGCCGCAAATGGCCCTCGGGCCGCACTTTGGACACCCCTGGTTTAAGCAGAAAAAAGACACCTACTGCCTGATTTAAAGAGCATCCCTGTTAGCGTCCCAGCAGCCACTGTGTTGACGTCATCCTCTGCTCCCCTGGCCTTCTCTATGGCCACACCAAACGCACTGTACAACAAGGCTGCAAAGACAAATATACAAAGCTTTGAAAGAGGCAGAACACCCAGATTATAACACACAGCTGTCAGCCCAGTCAGAAAAAAAGTGAGAGATTTACAACCCTAACAGCGACACAAAAATCTATAAAAACACACCAGTCACAAGACTAATTCATTTCTTGGACAAACAGCGGAGCAGCTTCTCCAACAGACTCATACAACTCCGCCGTCACAAGGACAGACACAAGAAATGTTTCTTACCGAAGGTCATAACTCTCTACAACAGCTCACCTCACGCGAGCAGAGAACTGTCATCATGATAATATCTGTCTCTCCTTTACTGTAATCTGTTCTGCACATGTTACATTTACAAATTATCCCTGCACTCATGTTCACTTCATTTGTCTGTCTACTCTCCGTTATATTGTATAGTTTCTGCTGATAACATGTCTACACTCATGCACTTTAACTTATGTCAATACCGTCCATTTATAACTCTGTTTTTGCACATTTACATTTAATCTTCCTATTTAAGACTAGTAATGCTTAGTTAAATCCTGGCTGTATATATATTCACATTCATTTTTGATATTTTTTAGTACTTATTTACTTTGTATTTAATATTATATTGTGTTTAGATAACCTGCTGCTGTAACGCCACAATTTCCCAGTTGATATCTGCTGACGCCTACAAGGACAGAAAATAAAGTAATTCTATTTCATTTTATTCTATATTCATTTTTTATTTTTTTTTTTAAGATTGGATTGGAATGGAGTGGATAGGGTCGGAAACCAGGGAGAGAGAGAGAGGGGGGCGCGCGCCCTAACCACTGCGCCACCAGCGTGCCCCTCTAGATTCATTTTTAAGACGAGTCAATGTGTCTGCTAACATGAGAAGTAACGGTCTTACCAACAGAGCCCAGAGAGTTGGCCCACGACGCACCCTGTCTGGTCACCATGTTGATAATCCTGGGTGGGAGAGAGAGAGTGAACATTTAGAGGGTGATCCAGGTGTAGAATATGGGAGGAGCTACCTGATCCATGTCTGCAGACTCACTGGACATTACGAGGTTTGGACCACGCCATGTCCTGCGTCTCCTTTAAACCCATTCTGAGACCGTTGACAGCTCCAAGCGCCGCTCCTGTAATCAAAAGAGGACAGAGTGCATCCGTTAAGCAGACACGATGGCGCTCAGGTTAGGTGCGTTGTTGTTTACAGGTGTGCTACACCTCTCACCTGTCATGCAGGATCCTCCTATAGTGAAGAAAGCCAGCTCAAACCGCCCTCTGGTTTTGTTGGCGCCGGTGGGCAGGATAAACTCATCTGTGTCCTAAAAACACAACATTACCTGTTACTGTTACAAAACACGTGTCTTTTAACTCAACACCGGAAGTGGTTTTCTGCAAGCTCACCTGGATCAGGTAACGAGGGTCGACATTGAGGTAGGGGGACAGAGGACTCATTCCAGTCACTGAAATGACGTCACAGAAACGATTAAAAACCATGACCCGGCACTGAGACGAAACAAAGCCGGCCGTGACGATGACGTCAGGTTTAGCATCGTGGGTAAAATGACGTCATACTTACAGGGAACACCTGAGAGCTCCGTGTTGGAGTATTCAGGTGCGCCGCCTCCAAAGAGACCCCCGAGACCACCTTTCGTCCCCCCTGCTCCTTGGGAGTTGTTGTCCATGGCTGAGAAAGATCCTAAAGGTGGGGTGGGGTGTTTGGGGGGGGTGGGGGGTCACCTGGCGAAAACTGGAGCTGCTAACCGAGCTACCTTACGTTATCTCTGTCGCAAAAACTCAAAAAGACTACAAGCTGTGGATTCACCTCCGGAAGAGTCCGTCCTGTCGGTGTGTCCGGCGAGCTTTCACAAAGATTTCAAACACCGGTTTTTCTTTTTCAGTCTCAGATTACTGAGCTCGAGCGTTTCGTCACACCGCTGACCTCCAGCAGCACGCTCTGCCGTAAAGCGACATCTGACGTGACGTCGAGCTGTCGTAACATCATCAAAACACGACAATTAAATGTAAAAAATAATAATAATTAAAAAAAAAAAAAAAACGGACACTAGTGTTTCACTCATCAATTTAATCTCATGAGTTTGCAACCATAACTGATTATAAAGTGAAAAAAAAAAAATGGACATGTTAGGGGTCCCGAAGATTTTACGACACCTCCACCGATCTGGGATCTGTTGTTTTAACCTTAAGGGCGGCTGGTGTTATGTAGAATAATGCGACCATGCGGCTCTGTGCACCACAGGGAGCATTATTTGATCCCCGGGTTTTTCGCCTATCAGGCTATGAGAGAAAAAAAAAGTAGATTCATTAATTTCATTTGAGATGTTTCTATGTGCAAATTACTGGTTTGAGTCCGACTGGAGACTCAGTAAAAGGTCTGACCCCCCCCCCCCCCTTAAACTGTGAACTTTCTTCTATCTGCAGTAAGAGAGGAGAAACTTACTCACTGTTGTCATCTCTTTTTTTCTGCTGTTTTGCCAGATGTTTGCAGCTGCCTAAGCGTGCCACTTCAGCTTCATCTAGAACATTTCACCTCCGTCACAACTGGTTCCAAATATTAAGAGTCAAGGTGTTTTTGATAATACAATCAAACAAAGACAGATGAACACATTACAGGAGTCCAATAACTCAAGAAGTCTTTGATGATGGTTTCTTTTGAGTTCTTCAAGAGTTTCTCACTCCTTTGAGTTTGTTTCTTGAAGCCATTTATTTTTCTTTTTAAAGATTTGTTTTTGGGCCTTTTGTGCCTTTAATGAGAGATAGGACAGTGGATAGAGTCGGAAATCGGGGAATGACATGTGGGAAAGGAGCCACAGGCCGGACTTGAACCTGGGCCTCCCTGCTTGAGACTACAGCCTCCGTACATGGGGCGCGTGCACTAACCACTGCGCCACCAACGCCCCATTTTCTAAGCCATTTCTGAGATTCAGGCGTTATTCTGAGTACATTTGTCATCATAATCAGACAGTAACTCATTATTATTATTATTATTATTATTATTATTATTATTAATAATTGAAGTCATTTATATTTAGATACTTTGTCATAATTTGGGAGACTAACTTATTTGCTGAGCGGTTGTTTTTATTGTCATTAAGAGACTTTCTCATCATTTATTTTTGTGATCAACTTTTTAATTTCCTTCTATAACAGACAGAGTTACAACAAAAAGTAAGGAGCAAAAAAGTGAAACATGAACCCTGTGGCGTTCCCTCCCTCCCCACCCCATAGGCCTCTATTATAAATAAATACTGTGTGCAGGGAAAACAGATTCCAGATTCCAGATAAAAATTGAATGATAATAGAGCATTTACAGCAGTTTGTTAATTCTTTCTAGCATCGATTCCCATGCCGAGATGTTGACAGCTGCAGCATCATTCACTCTTGCCACTGACAGCTCCACACCAGTAAACCAAATATGTGTTAATCCACTGGATTTTTTGTGACTGCGCGTGGGGGGGTTTCCAGCGTAAAGCCAACATCTTTTTGGCTGCAGTGATGCCCGCTAAAAGAATACGTGTAATACGTGTTCATTTTAACGAGGTTGTATCACTCAGGAGCAGCAGAGCGGGAGAGCGTGGCACAGTTACACCCAGTACACCAGATAGAATGTCACAAACCTCACCCCAAAATGTTTTGACATCCCATGCATTCCCAACACATGTGCGTGTAGGAACCTGTGAGTCCTTCTGTGCACAATGTGCAGTTTGGGGATGACAGTCGTTTCATGAGAAAAGCCTTTCTTGGAGTTGGAATTGAGATGAATCAGTTGGTGATCAGGGTTCCTCTTCCAGTCAGGCTTAATCTCTACAGGCGTATTGTTCCAAGTCGCCAGCCCGTACCCGTACTTTCTCATCATTTTTTGAGATATTGAGTCATTACTCTGGGACACTTATTCCTTTTTATGAGAGACCGCTCATTATTTTCAAATGCCAAAATCAGTATTGTGATGTAGAAAACCACTATTTTGAGATACGACATTGTTCTTTTGAAAGGTTCTTACTGTCTTGGAACTAAACAATTGAAAAACAAAACCCGGATTGGTCACTATTTGATCATATTTTGGACACGACTAAAGAGGGACCGCATAACCCCTGTGCTCCGTTCTCTCCACTGGCTTCCTGTTCGCGACAGGATTGATTTTAAAATTTGACTTCTGGCTTTTTAAATCATTAAATGTCTCAACACCTCACTACCACATGTTCATGCTCCATCCAGAGCACTAAGGTCCTCCAACCAGCTGCTCCTGGACGTGCCCAAAACAAGGCTCAAAACTAGGGGCGATCGAGCCTTTTCTGTTGCTGCTGCGGCACTTTGGAACAGATCACCATTTAAAATAAGATCTGCTGCCACAACTGAGCAGTTTAAGTCACTTTTAAAAACCCGTTTCTTTTCCTTGACTTTTACCTCTAGTTGAGTGTTTTATCCCAGCAGCAGTGTCTATTAGAACTTTTACTATTGTTTTGTGTTTTAATTCACTTTTAATTTGTGCTTTTACGTGTTTTTATGATGTTTTGGATGTAATGTATTTTGTCTGATTTACTGTACAGCACTTTGGTCTGCCTCGACTGTTATAAAAGTGCTATATAAATAAAGTTGACTTGACTTGACTTGACTACTTCCATATTCTGTCTACTCAGTCACTAAGTCTGAAGAGAGAGCTGTTGGATTAGTCTGAATTTTTAATCACACTGTTACACAATTCTCTACTTTCAGCTTCAATGTTTTCACACGCTGTCTGATTTGTCTGCTCACCTGTTGCAGTAAATAGAAATTCGTGGGAAGGAAATGTTGTAGTTCCTCCCATTTGACACACGGCGGCAGCAGAGAGCTGATATCTAAAACAGAGCAGCTGAAGAAAGGTCAAACCCAAACCATGTTGGTTTTGCTACTCCTTAGTTGTCTGTCTAATTAGATCTGCTTAATTCACTGATTTAGATAAATATGTTCAAAGTCATGACACATTCAAGTTTGGTTTGTATGATGTTGTTTTCTTTATCAACGTTAAATGACACCTGTTAGGCCTTTAAAATAATTACTTCCCGTATTTCAAAGCGTCTTCTTACTTACTCATGATGCAACAGAGAGGCAAGACCACACACATGCACACGTACGTGCACATTTTCTCAGCCCGGGTCCCAGCCATCTGCTGCCGGTCAAAGGGACAGAGGCAGTGAAGGAATTTAGTGTGTTGAATTTCCCGAATAACAGAGCATCTTATTTGGATTCTGCCATTGTATGTGTGTATTCAGAAGGGGCCAAGTGGAGCGATGAAGTTTGCCATTGTCGCCCAGTGTGGGTGTTTTCAGACTCTCTGGCATGATCTGTGAGTTAGTGTTCTCTGTGTTACTGCCCAGTGTGCCCACTGTCTTTCCCACAATGCCCCATTCAGCTCTGGGCCTCTCTCTCTCTCCCTCTCTCTCTCTCTCTCTCCCTCTCTCTGTCTCTCTCTCTCTCTCTCTTTCTCAGGCTGAGTTGCCACCTATTTTGTGCCGCTGGCTAATCATCCTCATCATCATCATCAATACCATCATCGGGCTACGAACCAAACTCTCACTTGTGGGATAAAAAAAAAAAAAAAATGGCTGTGATGTCATCTTCATCCTTTTTTCAGTCACTCTTCTCCTTCATTTCCTCTCTTTCTCTCTCTCTCTCTTTATCTCTCTCCCTCTCTCTCTCTCTTCCTTTCTTTCTTTCTTTCTTTCTGTCCCTCTGAGCTCCCAAACACAAAAGACAGAGAGGCCACGACAGGACCCCAGTGTATGCTGGTTGTCAAGGAGACAAGGAGACAGTGTTGGGTCTTTAAACTGCCTCAGAGGGGTGTGTGTGGAGTTAGGGGGGAGTTGGCCTTATTTACATGGGAAGAGGACAAGAGAGAGAGAGAGAGAGAGAGAGAGAGAGAGAGAGAGAGAGAGAGAGAGAGAGTGCGAGGGGTTTTGAAATACAACTTCTCTCCCTGCAGCTTATAGGACTCCGTTGTTATTCCGCTAAAATCATTCAGTCATCAAATATTTACAGAGCAGGCGAAATCTGGAGCTGTTCATTATGTAGAGAATGCAGTGCATACATAGTAATGTAAATCAACCTGTCTTTTTATCCCACACACACACACACACACATACTCTGATTGTGAGGAGCTCAGGGCCCCCACAGTGTTGGCAATGCTGAGAGCTGACTGCAGAATACATTACCAGATGCTTTTAAGAGTGTTTCATACCAGACTGGAAGAACAAGGAGAGGAAAAAAATAAAAAAAAATAAGCTTGACTGAAAACAGGAAAAACAGACAGAAGAGTACACACCCATCCAAACATCCATGCATGCACCCCCACCCATGCGTATCCAGTCTCTCTTTTTTTCTCATTCTCCCCGCTTTGCTATCTCCACTCTGCTTCTTCCTGTCCAGCGGATTGTCTGCAGCGGTCACATTATGTCCTCTCTTGCTCTCTTTGTGTGTGTGTGTGTGTGTGTGTGTGTGTGTGTGTGTGTGTGTGTTTCCCTTTTTTCTGTGTGATCGGGGGTCTGGGGTTGTGGCCGCAGATCAGGCTCAACTCCAAGCCCGAAGTTCAATATCAAGCCCTCAACTCCACAATGAAAGCAGGAAGGGCAGGGAGAGGACGGATGAGCCACCCACTGTTGCATTCACAACAGCAAGAAAACATGTGATTCTCCTCTCTTCTTCTTGTGTGTGTCATTTTGAAGGGAAGAACCAAACTCATTTACTTCCTTATTACTCTTTTTGTTTCATCAGTTTTAATAATAGCATCCGTAAAGAGAAATAAAGGACGTCTTATCAGAACTAATGGAGCCACTGTGACACATGAAGCAGTGAGTTTTGGGGTACTTCAGGGACGGACTCTTATCCCGTGCAATATTTACTCTGCAGATGTTTGAGGGCGAGCTTGCACAATCAATTTCCCTTTAATTCCCCGGCCGTAAAGTCCTCCAAAAACCTGCACCCCCCTCTGTTTTTTTTTCTTCCCTTCTACTTCTTCTTCTTTCTGTGATACATGTGCATGCCTTTGAGAAACCATGGTGAGCAGGGTGTGTTTTCTCCTCTCCTATTACACACATCCATGTATGTAGAAAGAGAACAACACCGGCGAAAAAAAAAAAAAAGGAGAAGTGGGGAAAACAATGTGGTGGCCTTTTCCCTGCATTTTGTCTGAAGTGTTTGCCGGGTTTTTTCCGCCCCTCTTTGGGTTTCTAAGGAGTGTTTGGTGATTAGTATGCAGAAAGGAAGCTGATTTGCATAAGTGAGAGCTACAGAGAAAAAGCAACAAAGTTTGGTTAGTTTAACAACTATGAGTTTAATAGTGTACAAAGAGTTATTCTTGCTCAGAGAACTTTAAAAAGTTAAACGTTCATTGTTCAACACATATCTTCATTTTTTTTTTTTTTTTAGACACACGTTTTTTTTTTTGTTTTGTTTTTTTAAAGGAATCCAAAGCGGACACAGAAACCATTAAAGAGGTTAATAATCATAGAAGTGGTAACAGTTAGTAACCTACACTTGGCACTGAAGAAGAGTAGATTAATGTTGTACTACACTGTTAATTGTCACACTCGGAGTATACAAAAAGGCACAGAGGGCAAGCGATGCTGATTTCAGAAGGCTCAAGTTAATAGAGAAAACTCCAGAATAGCAGGACCATGATTACTTCTGACACATGAATGATAGTTCAACTCATCAGATTATTCTCCATAATAAGGCATAATCCTCTTATCTGAAAAGGTTGTTTAATGTTATTTTCATGTACAAAATAGAATATAAAAATACATCATAAACTTGTTACAGATGTTACGCTCCAAGATTTTGTTTTCTTTTTTTATTACGTCAAGGCATCGGTTGGTTTTTTTTTTGTGTGTGCGTGTGTGTGTAAAACTGTACCCTCTGAAAAAGCGGATACACATGCAAAAAAAAATATATATATTTGTGGACGACTTCATCTCCAACAACACAAACAAACGATAAAGTAAAACACTGTTCTCTTGAGGTATTCAAAACCTCACATAAACATCTCAGACTCGTAGCTGCTGCTTTAATACTGCATTTCAGTTCAGTTGTTTAATGCACCAAAGTAAGTAGTGAGAAGAGATATCGATGATGATAATGAGGCTGTGGTGCGCTCTCTGCCGCCTTAATTCATCCGCATTGAACCCAAATGATATACTTTGACGCTGTGGTAAGAGATTTAGGTGTGACATTGTCCGATTGTTCTCAGTAAATAAAGGCACTGCTGTTCAAGCTCGTACAATACTGTAGTGTGAAAAAAAGGCAAAGGCATCATTATGTAAGCCCGCTGCATTCAGACGGGCCAAGTGCAACCTTCCCTCTGTGTGGGTTTGCATGTTTAGTACGCTGACTTGGCATTTATCCTATAAAAGTTTGGGGATGCTTTTCTTAATATTAAATTAAAAAAAGGATACTTTGGGATTTCAGGTTACGCTTTTGCCATATTTCCTCACTGAGCGCCTCTTGCTTTACCGTGAACGAAAGGTTCTCGCGCTGGCATGTTTTTCTCTTTGTTCGAACGTGTCAAAGTAAAAATGGAAACGGCTCTGCTTGTTCATAAAGAAAAGCGACATTTTAAACAAGTCATTTCAAACCACGTGTTGCGTTTTCAAGGAGAAGCGCGTTAATATATTAATATTTGAACACCAATTAAAACGGTTATAATGACATTTGTTGTTTGCGATCACATCTTTTTAAAGTGTGTGGGAAAGTAAGAGGTGCCCAATGTGGAAAAATGCTTTAAACCCTGTTATATCTCTATATAAAGTTTAGTGTTTATGGAGGGTTTGTGTGCTGGATAAGTAACAGTTACCATCATTATAAGAATAGCATTAATAGAGTCATTATTATTGCATCATAGACTGAGGGCAGGGCAGCTCAGGGAGACAGTCTGGCACAGTCCGGGATGGTTTAAGCCCTTCACCAGTGTGGAGTCCATCCCCAGTAACATTAACTGGTAACAAATGGCAACTACAGAAGACCAAAATGGTTTCAAAACATTCTCAGACTGGCTTTGAACTTCTAAAAGGAAGGCACGTTTGGTAGAGTTAAGGTTAGGACTCGGTGGTGGGCGGGGTCCTGAGGTTTATTCCCATGATCGCTGTCGTCTGGTTGGCTGGTTAGACAGAAGCAGCCGGGGGTTGTTCCCAATGTGCTGGTCTGGTTGGCTGAGCTGCGGGGAAGAGGCGGGGCCGTGGGCCAATGAGCACGCCAGCGGGGCAGAGATGGGTGGGTCATCAGTGGGCGGAAAGGTCAGAAGGTCAAGGGGTCATGGGTTAGTTGCCGTGGCAGCTAGAGTTAGACAGACAGAGACGGACGGACGAGGAAAGGAAACAAAAAAGGGCACATAAAAGGGGACATAAAAAGAAAAAAAGATAGAAGAGAGATTAGTGTCAGCTAGTGGCGTCAGGATGACAACAAGGCAGATCTACTGCGGTCGCACAGCGTGAGGGGCGCTACACCAGAGCCGCACAACACCTTCATGAGCCCCTGCATGACCATTCAGAGTGACTTACACCAACCACCGGGCGGTGACATAAGGAATGGCTGGTTAGCGATGCTCATAAGCGCTCATGAAGGTGTTGTGCAGAAAGAAGAAGCCCCTCCTGCTGTGTGACTGCTGCTATAGTGATACTACTCATGCTAGCTGGGCTACAACTAGCACAGACAAGACAGTGAAACCATGGACAGAGAGGGAGACGGCATGGTTTCATGTGGGTGAGAGAGTGACCTTTATGTCCACAGAAAAGTGTCCGGGCCTCAGAGATTCTTTCAACAGACTGACAAGTAGAGCTTTTGTTTAGCAGCAGGCGGAAGATTTCTTAAAGATTAACAGTTGTGATTATTGATTATGGTTTGATTTTTATTTATTTTTTTTAACTATGAAGGATTAGAAGAGCACCTAATGACTACAGTAAGCAAAGAGGCTCCGTAAGAGACAGTGATGAGAGGTTAAGAGATGGTGATTTTAGAAACAATTTAACAATAGACAGACTAACTACAAGAATTTAGAGGCTTTGGTTTCCATTAGAGATTTTTTTTCAATAGTCATCTTTATTGCCTTTTAGTGTTTTTTGTCCATCGCGTACAACAAGAGCTCCACCGCTCACATACACACATATATTGTAGCTAGCTAGTCCATTTCTATTGCATAAAACAGTCATGAGGCCTGTGAATCGAGAAAGGTCACCTCATCTTAAATAGACAGAGCAAAAAAAAAACAAAAAAAAAACAACAACACTGCCTTTTATTGCCACCTCTTTCTTCCGTGGTGACTAAAACAGTAGTAGCTACACACCTTGAATAAAGTTTGAAGTTTTACATGGAGACACTTCATCTATAAAAAGCATATCGTAGAAACAAAAAATAAAAATTTACAAACTAAAAAAACGAAGAAAAAAAAAAAATACTACAAGTATTTCAAAGCGATCTTGTTCCATAAGCTTCATATAAGCACTTTAAAATCCCTATATACAAATTTATTTTGCAGCTAAATACATGGCAACAGCACCACTCTGGCTAGGAAATATATGAAAGATGTAAACAGCCCCAATGATAAAGTCCAGTGGGCGACTGATAAGACCACAAACAGTATTTCATACAAAAGAGCTTGTAACACAGACTTCAGTAGTTCTCACACGCTGTGTTTTTAGTAGTAGAGACCAACGATCATGTTGAATTGAATGACCTCCAGAAAAAGACAATCACTGTTACTTTAAATGTCATATAGTCATTGGGCACAACACAGGATTTAATTAATAATAATAAAAAATAACATTTGTGTAATTCTAGTGGAATGAAGTTGGGTATAAATAAAAAAAAATCCCACAGATATTTGTAGGGTCAAAAGTAGTATTGAAGAGATAATCAACAACAACAACAAAAAAAAAAAGAAAGAACGGTTCTGAGAGAGGATGGACTCAGAATCCAGAGTCACAAGGACCGAGTCACATGAACGGAGCGATCAACTCTAATTGAGAGGGTCCCGGCCTGCATGCCGTCCAGTCTATCTAACAGGCGAGTGAAAGATAACCGCTGCAGCTGTCACCCTTAACATGGTTCCTCCCAATCTGCTCAATCGTTTCACTTTCACTGCAACACCGTTTCACATTTTACACCGACGCTGCTTCATCGCCTGATACAGTTATTTCTTTTTTTTTTTAAGGCATGCCGTATTACAGACACATGTAAACTGAGATTGGTCCATCGGTCTGCATGCACACACACTTACAAACACACACACACACACACTCAACACGCACACATACACATAAAGTGGCTGGTGAGCTAACTAACCTCTGTCTGGGGTCACTACCCTTTGGTAAGGATGGATTCTCTTGTCGTGGCGTCGTACCTTAGTGGTCATGGCACCTGCTTACAGCCATTGACATTCGCCAAAACAGAACACAAAAGGTTACTCATCAGAAAGACATCAAACAGTCCACCCATGGCACCAACATCAGTGAGACCAGGAATTTAAAAAAATAAGTTCAAGGCTGAGGGTGAAAATAAGTCAAAACTTCTAAGAGACAGATTTGTGTTGTTGTTTTTGTGGTCTTCTGTTCTCTCAAGAAAATATTAATCCAAACCACTAATTTCTCACTAAGCTTCCCTATTAGATTCAATATCAGCTGTAAGCGAAGTCACTCTATAGCTCTGATTAAAATAAGCTCGAACATATATTAAATCACAAACAGCGGCGCTAACACATCTACGGGTTCACTAAAAAAAACTGTTAAAAAATTACAAGCAGAAGCTACACTATTATAAAAAGTTAAATAGCTGTCACACCACAATGCTAGTCTGCTAATACAAAGAGGAAATTAACAGGAATGGACACTTGACTACAGAATGACTGTCGAGGAATCTGTCATCCTAAAGTATGAGCAAACTTTGAGTGTTTGCTCTGTGGGACAAGTATGTATAGGGGGGTAAGAGAGAAAGAGAGAGAAGGGTGGGGGTGGGGTGGGGGGGGTGTCTCTGCAATCCAGTCCGTGTGTGTGCTAGGAAGGGTTGCTATCGCTTAGCCTTTGGTTGGGAAAGCCATACCTGCAAAAACACAGGAAGAGGGGACTGTTAGCCCAGCGATGAGCATCAGCATTCACATGCAGTATGTAGAGGATGTATTACAAGAGCTGGATACGACTGCCAATCTGTACCTGGGGCAAACTGCGGTCTGAGTTCTGCCATTTAATTGGACCTTTAAAGCACTTGTTTGTTTGTTTGTTTGTTTTTTAAAAAAAGTGATTTTCGAGGATTTTCTCTGTTGACCGATAAAACCCTCGGTTATAACAACTCTCAGAGGAAGACAAGTGGCAACCTCTGAAGCCAATGCGGAGGTGAACAAATATTGCAGTTCCTTAAGTGTCCACTTGAGGCTGGCTACAAAACTCCCCGAAGTCCCATTGACGCTCATGTTAAAGTGCTTTTTCTTCCAAGCAGAAATAAATGTGGAAACAGCCTGGTTTAAAAAAAAAAAAAAACGTGTCGGTAGGAATGGCTGAATCTTTGTTGGTACACTCTCCACAAACTGAATCTTTTTATAACTCATAGTTTTTTGATAATATTAAAGCTAAGAGTCATGCATATTTAGGGGCGTGGCCTATTTGACTGACAGTTTGGTGTGTTGCAGCTGTTGTTCGGGAGACTAAAAGCCGGCCTCAGCTCCACCACTTTGCTTTTACTTTACTTGTTTGATTAAAGTTATGTTGGGACAGCATTTCCAATGTGGTGACTGCCATTGTTGGGCCTCAAAACTGTGCTTCAGAAACCAATGGGTGATGTCACTGAGACTATGTCCATGTTTTCTACAGTCTATGGTGGAAGATAAAACTTCTAATTTTAACTACTCCTGGGTCTTATTGATTAAAACAGAAATAATGAGTCAATAAAGATTATGGCGGCTTCATTGTGACTTTGTTAAATACTCGATACTGACACATCAAGGTGAAATCAATTAATAAAACTAAAGAATAAAAGAGATGAGAATGAAGCCCCTTTAGCCTGACAAGCTAACAGTTGGTAGCGGATGAAATTTGGCTCTCAAATTCAGCTGGACTTGTCTGGTTCAGTGTGTCGACTGTACAGTTCAGTGAAGCCAAGTCGCACTGTGCCCTTAGACAGATGGTGAGGCAATTTAACAGAGCGTGCGATTTCATACAAGGACACAAATTCACTTTGGGTGAGGCAAAAATTGTTGCAAAACTGTCTTCATACAAGTTCAAATGTTAAATCCTAAGTGGACAACTAGCAATATTTCCAGGAACTTTAATAAGGGAAGAATCCAGGTTTGGCCCTGGCCCCTCTGAAATCTGATCGGCCACCCAATTGCCCTTCCAAAAGTCCTTAACAACGATTGGCTAACTGCCTTATCAGATGCGGGACTTGTGTACAAAATCAACTATTTTGGCTACATAGGAGGCTGCAAGCGTCCCCACTTGTAATAATTTCAGCTGATATTTTGCCCTTAAAGAATGAAGCTTAGAAAATGTTTAAGTTGCCTCCCTGTTGTGTTACTTGTCAAAGTCAATACATTTTTTTTTCCAGGAATTTGTCACATTTTAGAGTCTTAAATATTATTACTTCGATCTGATTGCAACTTAAAAGGTTAAATAATGCCTCATCCGTGTGTGTCCATATTAAACTTCATCTTGCATAAGTCAGTTTATCCACCCCAGTCGAGAAAGTCTAGCTCCGCCACTGACTTTAATCATTTGCTTCATAAAAAAACACAGAATGGAAGGAAGGAGAGTAAAAACCGGAGGGGAAATAAGAATGAATTTTTGAGTTTCTGGGGATTCCTGAGCTCAGTCAAAGCCTTGTGTCAACGTAAAACAACACAGACAAAAACACACACATGCTGCTGGTGTGCTGGTGGCTTTAAGATAACATCTGCACAGTTGGAAAGATCTTAAATGACTGCACAAACAGTCACCTTTTCAAGAACTCTGCTTTGCTTTGAGTCCAAACACACCTTTATAGACAAATTGGCCGCAAACTTAGGATCATTTTGACCATGAAGGTTTGAGATTTGTTGAATTCATCTTAGAGTCCAGAAGTAGTGTTTTTTTTAAATTCCCGATTTCATTCATCTCAATGTAAAGTCTAAAGAGGGTTAAGATGACGGCGTGTGCGAGCAAACCGGCCTGTTGTTCTCTAACAGAGAGAAGCGTATTGGTTCACATTTTGTCCTACACCATGAGCTGGGACTCTGAGCTTTTTTTAAACCCTAACCGAGAGTTTATTTGACGTGTCTATTGGAGTCAAGTATCCAGTTCTCATAATACATCCATTGACCATGTATGAAAGTGATGAACTTTTGATTTCTAAATACCTAATACTCCAGTTGAGTCAATCGGGTATTCCAATATTGAAGGCGTGAGTGTGTAGGGGTACTCGTAGGGCGTGTAGATGATCCCAGACTCGGGCCCTTGCTGCACAAGCGCTGGGTGGGGGTTTCCTCCTGGCATGAGGGCTGAGCTCTGGATCTGGCGAATCAGAGGCATGAGGGTCGGCGTGTTGACGGGCGCGGGGTTTCGCAGGGCGGGAGGCAGGACGGGCGTCGGGCCTGTGATGATCCGAGGCGCCTGAGGGGTCGCTAGAGGGAAGCCAGCAGTGGCTGCGTGGCACACCCAACATACAATAATGCAAGTATGTGCACACCCACACGCCATCACACGCGTACAATAGACAGGGAAGAAGAAGAAGACAAACAGACCATTTAACAGCAGAAACAGAGGCATTGTTCATGTACACAGTGGAGTCCTGTACACAGACCCCTCCTTTGTCACCCACCAACCCTCCTCCACATTATGATGTCAGCCTTACGCGTCTTGACATTGGCGTCTCTGTAGGTCCCATTGAGAATGGCCAGTTCCATCAACTGCATTTTCTTCAGGTTGTCCTCCCCCTCAGCCTACAACGAGACACACACACACACACACACACACACAAGCAGAGAGACACAATCAGCTTATTTAGATAGTTAAGGTCAACTATTCAACAAAGGTTACAGCATGCAGAAACAAATCCCGATTTGATTTAAAGCTCCCGTGAGGAACTCTCAGCTTGGGTTGATTCTGGCGCCACATGTGGACAAAGCGGCACCTCGCATCTTTTTGCCGGTCCTGCACACGTGTAAGAATATCAACGTTCTTTCTTTCAATCATTTGAAAGTATCACTCATTGAGAAGAGAGCACGCAGGGAGCTACCTTAATAAAAACGATATAGAAGTAATCCGTCTTATTGCTGATGGTCTTATTTTGCTTTAGTACGTCATATAAAGGCATCAGTATTCAAACGGTCTGTTTCATATGACCACCTAATAACTCCTAACAGGAGTCTGTAGTTGTTTTTTTTTTTTTTACTTTGCATTGTCTAAAACGGATTCCACCACCAGACCTCGAACGCACCACACACAGGATATATTCGGTGTCAGACACACCAGCTTCTTTAGCTCCAGTTACAGCCTGGTGAAAAGCCCGACTGATTTACAGTCAGACAGCAAGGTCGACCGGGTTAAACCAACACCTATCATTAACTTTGCCCTCGACACACACACACACACACACACACACACACACTCACAAACACACACACTCACAAACACAGATTAACAGGTGTTCGGCTTCTGATTGCTCCCGAGTTGTTCTCACATCTTTTTACTTTTAGGGTTGGCTTGATACCGTGCTGTGATTGGAGCGGAAGTAGCCGCTGATTGCTGCAATAGAAATCCCCCTGCTGGTCTTTTCAGACTGTTTCTATTGTTGCAAATAATGCAGAGGAAGAAAAGGAAGGAGATTTGAAAATATGTGCTCCTGTGATCGTGTGGGACGATTCAAAAGATTGTGTGTCCCTATATGCACACTATATGTCTGCATGCGTTTCTTCTTTTGTGGTCATGTTTGTGCATGGCTATGCGTGCATGTGCATCCACAGGGGTGGGGGGGGCGGGGGGTGGGGGGGGTGGGGGGGCTTAGGTGGGCCGGAGAATGTGAGAAATGTTGAGGAGTGCAATCAAAATGTCCTCTTGTGTGGACAACAAAAAAAAGGAGAGAAAAAGGAATACTGTAGCCAGTAGTTTGGGAATGAAGTGAGTTGTGAACGAGTGAAAGGAGTGATGGAGTGGGGAGAACAAGTGAACAGACTCTCCATTCATTCCCTCAGCCTTTCAAACAACCCGGGGTTACCATGGAAACCCCTTTATGCATGTTCCCTAATTACCCTAACCCCTTACACATACTCTCTCACACACACAAAAACACAAAAAAGACACAAACACACACTTTTTGGACTGACAATCCCCTTCCCCCTTCCATGCATACCAACACAGTGAACCCTCATCCAGTCACACACAGCTTTTCCATCAAGTCCGGTCTATAATATCTGACGCTGACAGGTTCGGACTCGTACTCACAGCAGGCACCAGGAGTTTCTTGACCTCGTTGATGGCCCGCTGAAGCTTGATCTTGGCCCGGTTGTGTGTGTCCTCCACTGTGATCAGGACGTGGAGGTCCTCGCTGAGGTGTTCCCAGTTGGGCTTCCCTCGGTTCATCTCCTCCTGAAACACAAAAAAAACACATTTTAAAGGGTCCGTTTGAATGCACCACACATGCTCGAGCAATCACTGCAGCGGGGGGAACAGGATGTCTTCTTGTTTGGCTCGCTTTTTTTGGATTTGTCTCAAGCTGAACACACAAACACTCACAAGTCTCAAGGTCGGTCGATGCAGCTCCGTAAGTGTTAGCTAACTCATGTTGCTCTTCAGTTGTTACGCGTATGGTGCTCAAATTCTTGAAGTCACTTTTCCCCAAAGTTTTCCACCGGCGCTATCTCATATCTCTCACATCAACAAAGCTTGAGCTGAAATGATTGGTCAATTGTTTGCCTTCAGAAGTTCACTAAATGTACTAAAGTAGCATATTTTGCTCACCTTCACGTCCTTTAATTGGTCAAAATCAAGTAAAAATATCAGATAAATTCACCTCTGCTGGTTAAACTTGTCGGTCTTATTCCCTGTTGACAATAAAAAAAAAACAGGTGCACAAAGTCTGGTTGAACTTAAACTGATTTAACAAACACAAGATGGGTTATCTGTTTTTCTCTGCTTCAGAGCGTTTTTTTGAGTGAATTCAACAAATGAAAGCCAGAGTGTTCACTTCAACAAAGAAAGATTTTAGTTATATTTCTAATAAGTGTCTTTACATCCCCACCAGGGGCGTAAATCGCAGGGTAACGCCCTATAATGATGATAGATAGCCCACAAACAACAATATTATTACAAGGAGATTCCACTTTAAATTAAGTTTCAAGACAACCATATCAGGATACATTTCTAAATCTGATAAACTGAGAGCCATAAAATGCCCCTTAAAGGTTAAGTGCAGGATTTATGTATTCGTTCACAATCTGTCATTTTGTGTCAGTTTAACTTATCATGCTTCATCCATTAAAGGTTTATTTTGGGGCTTTTTATGCCTTTCATTTAAGATATGACAGAGGATAGATTCAGAAATCGGGGAGAGAGGAAGAGGACCACAGCCTCCGTACATGGGGCGCGTGCACTAACCACTAGGCTACGTGTGCCCCCTTTAACGGTTAAGGCGGTTCATGTTACGCTCATGCATGTCATAAGCCCCCGCCAGGAGGGGAAATCTGTTAAGAAAACTGTATTTTCTTAATCAAAAGATCCATTTTTGGAACCAGTGATAAGATCATTGCATCACCCGGGGCAAGAAAATGACCAGTCCCAATCCCCACAGCGATCAAAAAATCAAATTCTGTGAGAAAAAAGTGAAACAAAAAGGCTCTTTGGCTGACGAAGAGTTGCAATAAGCTCGTCCAATTATATCATTCAGGATGGATTCAATGATTGGATGGCTTACTTGCCTGCAGACCAGCATACAACTAGTCTTCCACAAGCTAAAGCTCGCAAGTTAGCCACAGAAGAATAGCAAAGGGAAGGGTAATGGTTAGTCATAAAATTGACACATGGCGCTTATATCCCCAACTCTCTTGTGGACTCGTCCTGCACCTGTTCATGAGCTTTGGGCGTGTTGATTTTTTGGAATTTTGGAATTTGGATGCGATCAAAATGTAGCAGACTTCTGCCTGTTTCTTTTTACAATGCATACCCAACGTCAGCGCAAAGTCAGAAACATCTACGAGTACTTTTGATTTCCAAAAAAGTTTAAACAAGCATCGGTCCAGCTAGGTCCAGCTGGCTTAGCATAAATACTTAGCTAACCTCCTGGATGTAACTTCATTCTTAACCGACCGACAGCGGTGATCTAATCAGCTATGTCTTGAATTCAGTAAATTTATGAAGCTCCAAAATGATGCAGCGATCTTCACAGAGCAGCTAACACGGCTGTGGATTAGGTTTCAGGGCCCAAACTATCACTTAATCAAATAGACATCACAGATTGAGCTGTAATGAAAATAACAGGGAGTTTGGAGCCCCAGCTGAAGCTGACATTTTGAAGTCTTGTGTGCAGGGAGATTGTATCCTCTGGGAATGTTTTGTCAAGTGAGATGTATCATTTTGAAAAACACCAAAAGTCAACATCTTTCTCTCGTCTCCCCCTGTTGCCTCCCACTGTGTCTCTGTTTTCCTTCCTCTCTGTCTCTCTGTGTGTGTCTCTCTCTCTTTCTCTGAGGAGTGCGGGGTAGGGAATGTTCTGGAGAGAGAGAGGGTGGGCTGGAATGCTGGACTTGCTCCACCTGCCGTTTGGAAAGCTTGGGTCGACTCCGTCCAACAGCAAACACCAGGGGAGAGGAAGAAAGAACAGATGGACCGAACACCAGGAGAGAAAAACCGAGCACCAAAAACTTGTTTTCAGAAGATACATACAGATAGATAGATAGATAGATAGATGGATAGATAGATAGATAAATAAACATCTGAACATCGCGCCCTCTTTATTTATGTCAAATAATACAGAAAGTGAAAAATATTAAATGATTACTTAATTTTTAATATCCTGAATTAAATGGAAATCAATGGCTGTCTAGATATTTTGCAAAGACGTCAGAGAGCTCTAAGGGCCATACATACATTTCATACTCTTTACCTAGCTCTTCTTTTATATCTTTAGTGAATGAGGCCACAGACAGAGACTCGGTAGGTTAGCTTAGCATAAAAACTGGAGGACGGCGCGTCTAGCTTGGCTTTATCTAAATGTAATGCAATGTGCCTAGTAGCTCCTCTTAAGCTCACAAGATTTACACCAGGGGTGTGTCTAGACTTTTTTGGGGACAGGGGTGGCCAAGCTGGGGCCCTGACGTTTACAGGGGGGAGGACACAAATGAGTAGAATTTTCTTTACTCTTTCTATCTCCACTAGTCTACTCTAAAAGATTTTTTATATTCCTGGGATAGTTGTCGCCTTTAAAGTAAAACATCAGAGTGGCAACATTTCAATCTTAGCTTTCTTCTTTAAGGACTCAAAAAGAAGATTTTTGTCGCGTTTCAACATTTTTAGTTACTGTGTGCAGGAGTTTGCTTGCAATTTTCTGTTGACTCATTCCTCTTCTACACATCTGTCTACATAATATGAACATATGGGGGGGGGCGTCGGTGGCCTGGTGGTTATGTTGCGCCCGTCATGTACAGAGGTTATAGTCCTCATCACAGCGGCCGTGGGTTTGAATCTGACCTCGGCCCTTTGCTGCACGTCATCCCCCGCTCTCTCCTCCCAACATTTACTGTCTCTCTTCAGCTGTCCTATCCAATAAAGGGGGGAAATGCCCCCAGAATATCTTTAACAATACATTTCAATGAAAAGAAAACGACTTGCAGCCTATTTGTAACACAACCTGAATCGTATTTAAACATCAGAACTTCCTCTGACAAGGCAAAAAGCAAATCATTGTTTAGGATTTTAGGGGTGGCCAATCAGGCCCCCCCTACAGACACCCCCCTTAATACACTTCTTATAACATTTGTTTATATCCTTAGGAAATATTAGGACAAATTGAGGTTATGTGGGAACTTTTTCTTGGCCAGTCAAGACTTTAAAGATTGTGTAACCTCTGGAATGAGCCAGGCTAGCTTTTTCCCCCTCATCGCGTCTTTATGCTAAGCTAGGGTTAAAGCCTCATGGTTCTAGCTTCATATCGTAGCATTCAGATATGAGAGCGACATTAATCTTCTCATTTAACTTTCTACAAAAAAAAAAGAAGCAAACAAGCGCATTTTTAAAACCTTGGAAACAATTTCTCCTAGCGTGCAAAAAAAAAAATCCCTCTGGTCTCCTACAGAGCCGTACCAATGAAAAGGACTTAAATAGAAAATGAAAGAGACTTTAAAGAATATATACTGTGTGTGTGTGTGTGTGTGTGTGTGTGTGTGTGTGTGTGTGTGTGTGTGCGTATGACTGTGTATACCTTCTTCTTGTCTCTCATGGAGCCCTTTCCTCGCACCATAATCTTGCAGCCGGTCTCTGCCTCCAGTTGTTTGGCTGTCAGCCCACGTGGGCCCAGGATCCTCCCTACAAAGTTAAACTACACGATACAGCAAAAAAAAAAAAACAGATCATGAATACGACCTCCAAGAAAGACAGAGACATTTTGACATTACAGACTCAAATGTCTACAATGTGTGTGTTCGCCATGTGCATGTGGAAGTGTGCTTTTGCAGTTTGTGCGTGTGCGATGTGTTTGTGTTACTAACAGGGGACAGAAATAGATCATTATAGGGGTGCTGGCTGGTGCTGGCTGGTGCTGGTGGCATGGCAGGACAGTGCCGTTCTCTTAACCTTATCTGTCACTAAGACTGAGTGATTAACTAGGCAGCTGCCCTTCTGTATGCGTGTCTGTGTCTGTGTGTGTTTCTCTGCCAGTATCCCTCTGTCTCATTCTGCTTTGGAACATTTGTCTAGCCTTTCCCTACTTTTAACCTAATGTCCACTTCAGTAAGAGTTGCGACACAACTCCGCTCCGGCCTCTCACACACACACACAGGGACAGATCAAGATAGAGGAACTGCTCTCTAAATTTAACCTTGATCTCAACCGTTTTCCAGCGCTCGCCTGTCTGCCCGTGTGTCCTGTTAGTCCTCTGTCATGTGAGTGAGGACAGCCTGTCATTGTATTCGCTGATTGGCGAGCTGATGCACGGCGAAAAAGAATCATGTGAGCCACTCAATCTGGATCGACGAAAACTCATATTGAAGTGCTTAACTGTACTTGGCGGGAGCAGGGATGTGCTCGATGGTTAAGTCTTTTCACTGAAGTGCATTTGTCTTTTATATTTGGGGCAAAGACTTTAAGCTCTTGTAAATATTTGCGGTGTAAACTAATGTCTGCGGCTGTGTCCTAATGAAGGAGTTTAGATAAGCCTTATTTGAGAAACCAAACCTGTAAATCATTCTTTTTTTTTTTTGATCATATTGGAAACACTGTCCAGGGTTCATTATTGATCTATTTTCAGTCTGGATTACATCACTGGGTGTGAGCAGAGATGATCTCACAATGAAATCAGTTTTTTGGAAACAATATAAAGCAAAGAAATCTTGGAATTTGCAAAGATAAAAAAGCCTTGCGGACTTTCTGGCAGCCCAAGTGGAGTAAACAGTCTACTCTTTTGAAAAAAAGGTCAAAGATCAAGGGGCTTTGACCACTCACGTCTGGGTACTCTTTGACCGGCACGTAGAGCTTCTCCTGCAGCTGAGCCACAGGGCCAATGGCTTCGGGAAGCTCCTCCATGTCCCGCCCGTTGAACATGCCGCCGTTCACCGTGTCGTTGTACATGTCTTTGCGTACCCGGCCAATCTCTGCGAAACACACGGACAGACAGGAAACAAAAGACAGAGAGAGAGAGAGAGAGAGAGAGATATATGAGTGAAATGAACAGAGGCGTCCAGAGGGTCAACAAGTGTCATGTTCCTTTAGACCGTGCGTTTATTAGGTTGATGACTCACGGCCACAGAATTACAGGAGGCTCTGAATGTGACAGCAGAGAGTTAGACAATCAGACAGACGGGCGGGGAGGCAGCGAGACAGTCACAAACATTCTGCACCACAATGTAGAATCTAACCGCTGAATGCTTTGCAATCAGGGCTCCTCTAGTAGATAGATAAGACATATAGATAGATAGAGCACTTTAAAACTAAAATGTTTAAACAAAAGGAAAATGAGAGCAGAAAGGTCCAGATAGAATCTCAAGGTGAATTCATACATTCATGCATACAAGACATGCATGTAGGTATTAATGTGCAGTATAATATAAAACAGATAAGGCACTAGAAACACATGTATTTGTTTAACAGTCTGACAGATGCAGGTAAGAAAGACCTCCTGTATTTAAAATGACATTCAAGGTAATTCCACTCTTTTCTTCTTCTATCTCAAGCTGTGTTTGACGCACACACACGCGCACACACACATTACTCCCACCCTTTCACAAAAAAATCCAAATAAACACACGTTATTTGGGGTCACAGCGACTTACCCTCCACACCTGTGTTTATATAGTTCTTCTGCTGGTCGGTTACTCAACAACACAATTCTTAGAAAGTGTTATATGTTTGCTTTAAACGATCATTTTTGGTAACTCATTGAACCTTTTGTCAGATAATAAATCTATCTACTGGTGCACACAATGCCCACAATAAAATGTTCAAAAAAGGCCTCGAGAGTTATTTTTAAAATCTTTTATCTTGTCTTTTGTCCAGCCGAAAGTCAAGGACCTTTTTCAGGAGACAATGAATTGCGGGAAACAAATTCTCACTGAGGAGCCTTTTCTGAAAAGTTCTTTAACGACAGAGCTGCAAGGATCGGTCAACCGTTACAATAATGGCCAACTTTTTGGATAAGCAAATCAGCTCGGTCAATGTGAATATTCTCTGTCCTTTCTATGACCTATCTGACTGGACTAAATATCTGTGAGTTGTGATCAAAACAGACATTTGATGATGTCGTCATTCGGGAAAAGTCAATAACATTCACTTTAAGATTTTCTGTTCATTTAAAAAGAGAGAAAACTAATCAGTTGATTACGAAAACATCAAAAGAGCAATTGTAAAATACTAAATAGCTCACAGCAGCTGCTTATCTGAGGACTGTTTCCTTTGAATGAATCCAATAAGTCTGCAAAAGAATAAACTCTATGTCATCCAAATGACCTCTTCCAATGTTTTCAAACAAACTTTTCTTGTCGAACTATCAGCAAAACAGCCAAAAGTATTAGCTTTGAAACTGATGTGGAAAGTAAGACTATCTCCCAATGGTGACCTTTTGAGGATTTCTGCTCAATAAATAAAAAAGGACCAAAAGTTGCCAAATTCCTGGCTTAGGTTTGGCGCAGAAACACCGTCGTAAATGAGACCGTTTGTCCGCCTGTCTGCTTGTTGAGTGTTGTCTCAATGACGATGCTATCCTCTGATGCCTTTGTAATGACACGCTAGCACAATAATAACTGACTACTGCACCACACAAACACATACGCAGCACATACACACACAGACCCCCCTCCCCCTCTCCCCCCCGCCCTCCCTACTTGTACTCACTCACTCACTCAGACAGACACACACACACACACACAGCAGAATGACTGCCTTGAGGCACAAATATCATCTGACCTAAGCAGGCTGACAGGCATGTCTCCCCGCGCTGAGAGTGATAAGTCTGACCGTAATAACTACAGTAGGACGCTATAATTACAGCCACCACCAACGGTGACAATGATGATCCTCTAACAACCCATTTCGGACCTGTTACACACCAAAAGTGACTATTAGAAACGCACACGCATGCACAAACAAATCTGCACAGGCAAGCAGGGCTTTAGGTCACCGTTCAGTGGAGACAGGGAGCGAGCCGGTGGAGGAAAATGAGAAGTGAAAGAAGAACAAGAGAGCTGAACGGGCCCGGGTGAAAGATAAAGAGGGGGAGCTGTATCAGGACTTATCTTAACACTTTAACCTGTCATTGGTTTATATATATAGACGGGCCCGTTTCCAAAAAATGCCACAAACCTACAGCCTGACAATAAGTGTGACTGGCAGGGCTTCTTGTTACCCCGAACAAACTTTTTTTGGTCCTCTGTCGCCGTCCACATAACTCAGGCAGAAGATGCAGCCAGGCTGGAAATGGGCACGGTACAATGCCTTTCATTCTAACCGGGGGTGTCACTTTATCATGTGTCAGGGATGAGTGCGCTCAGCTGTCAAGTCTTTAACGTTAACACGGCCGGTTGACCTATTTGTCAGGCTCCAGAGGTCGTCCGGTGTGCGCACAACCTTGCTGCGTCATGAGACTTGTCACAAAGTCAGGACCGTGGTGATCCTGATGTGCAACAAACAGTCGCAACAACAACAACAACAGGCCTTGGCGGCAAGTAGCTGCTATTAGAAAAAGTCAAGACAGCATAGAATCATGATATTTTGTGTCCACACACTCGAGCGAAGAAATCAACCGTTCTGGACTTCTATTAGAGTTGTTCCCAGTATACCAAACCAGTACAGATACTGGTACCAGTTGGTATTGGCATCTGATGCAGCCAAAAATAAGATACCAGGTATGCCAGTCAATACATCAATCCAATATAATAATAATAACATAAACAAGACTACGGTTCAGAGAGGGTAGCAAAAATGTAATAATTCATGTTTTTCCACCAATACAATGTTCATGTTTTTAGTCCCACTAGTGTTATAGGGGTACGCGGTATCAGCTAATATACAAGTCCAGGTGTCTGATAAATATCGGAAAGTAGAAATGCTTTCCAAACCTCTCTAGTTTCCGTGGATTTATTGAATCTATACATGCATGGACACCAAGTATCGACCTTTAAACATAGGAATTTAAGGCTAATACAACAAATACACGTTTAACTGTTTGAATTAGAATGATTCTATTCCATCGCTATTCAATCCACCAGATTGTGCTGAGTTTTTCTTCGGGTGAGGTCAGCAGGAATAAGCTGCAAGTTTGTTGAATATGTGATGGTATTAAAAAAAAAAAATGGAAGTAGCCACTGTGAAGTGACACACGGGTTTGTTGACTGCCAGAGGCCTCGAGTCGGCATACCGCTACTTCATCGTTGGTTTTCTGGAGCCAAAGTGACCATATTTGAACGGGACGGTGGTGCTGGGTTGGAGAATGCCAAGTTATCAACGTTAAACACTGTGAGGCTAACTCGTTCGCTGGCCAATACGCTAGTTACCAGAGTGAGATTGTGAAGCTGTCCCCGCGTCGTGTGTTTATCAGACTGAAGAAGCTAATACAGAGCTTGTAGAGAGCAGAGGAATTACGGCTTCTTTGCTGAAACCTCCAGTGAGCGAGCGGCTGGTGAAAGGATCGACCTCTTTGCAGGGAAAGCCAAAAACAATTCTGACACCTGGCAGTGCTGATGTGTAGCAGACAGCTAGCTGCATCTAACTGCTACTCAAAGGCACCAGAGTCTTATTTTGAAAGGCAGAGCATCGTCTTAAAAGGCGAGTTATATAAAACCCAAACTCTAAAGGGGGTGTAGAGGTGTTAGCTATAGAGAATATCATTGTTTTCTATCAGGTTGTTGTGTGTTTATTCCTGTGGTTAAGTTGGGCATTTTAATATGGGGCATAATGGGGATTGACTCACTTTTGGAGTCAGCCTCAAGTGGCCACTTGAGGAACTGCAGATTGCGATGCTCTCTTGGCTTCATTTCTCGACCCTTTGTGGAGGTCACTTGGTCAAAACAAAAGACGATGGAGCTCATTTTTTCATTTCAATTCAAAGGGAATCAGTCAAACTTACAGGTGCTGAAGGGACTATATAACTTTTGTTGTAAAAATGATGCAGCCTCTTCATCATACCCGTAAGTCTGCCCGCTTACAGGCAGGCCTGTCCACAGAAATAGCTTGCTTGCCCCCCCCCTGCTGATGTCACTTAACAATATCAAAACATTGCACGTTGGATCGGTAGCGTCAGCGCTAGCCTCCTGGCAAACATCTGCCTTCTCAGCTTGGCTCTGATAAGCTTTTGGAGCTGACTGAAAAAAGCTTGTCAACAAGTTATTGTTGGAGTCATATAAGCCTCCTTTCTTTTCTGGCATCCTGACTTTTGTGCAGCTCCTGGCGTAGCAATACACACACACACAGACTTTACTGGCCTAACAGTTAAGTTGAATTACATTGACAGTTAAGTAAAAAAAAAAAAAAAAAAAAGACTCAGGCTCACACAATTTTAAGAAGAGGGGATAACATTATGACAAAAAGAAAGTGTATTATTGTTGTGTTAATAACGGTGAGTAGTTTGGTTAAAAATGATTATCATTTCTTAAATTAAGGATGGACAATGTTTAACCTAACTTTATCATATTGTGAGAACATTTTGTCATCAAGCAAGTTTTGAGATAATAACTTATCATGACCATAGTATCGTGTTTAAATTGTATCGTGACGGTGACTCAAGTTTTGTGGTAATATCGTTTTGTCAGGTCTCTGATCATTTCCACCTCTATTAAAAAATTAGAAAAAAGGAAAGTCTTTTTTGCACTTGTTGCTTTGCTCCGATGCCCCTGGAGTTTGTTTTTTATAAAAAAAAAAACCAAAAAAAAAACATGTTTATTATTAGCAAGTGAAGTGCATTGATTGATCTTACAGACAGCGTGTCTCAAATCAAATATTTTACACTGTGACAAGCTGTCCCTCCTGCTCAGGGATGGGCTGCAGCATTCACATAAGCCTGCGCATTAGGTCACTGAGAAAGACTAACAACTGTCTGTTTGTTCCCATCACCAACTGCTCCAATGTGTGTGTGTTAGTGTGTGTCTGTGTGTGTGTGTGTGTGTGTGTGTGTGTGTGAGACAGAGAGAGCTCATCTAATGCCTTCAACAAATTTCAAAAAGTGACATAAAAGTGAAGCACATAACAAATTTACGAGATTTTAAGCAACGTTTGATTCATTCATAATGGGAAATCCCCCTCTCAAGCTCTTTGGTGAGATTTAATGAGAAGTAAAACAACAGTTTAAGTGTTTGAAAATAAAAACTAATGCATCTTCCAGTACAGGATAAAAGACATTTCCAAGGAGTCATGAGGAATTCCTGAATTAAACGAGTTTTCAATAATGGGAGTCAATAACTGTTACTTGAGGAACCATCACATGAAGTGTTTTTTTTGGGTTGGTAATATTAAAAAAAAAAAGATGGGGAGTGATTTCCTCTGTAGTGAGACAAGTGGCTCAGTGGAGAAACAGAAGCCGGGTTACCTTCATCCAGCAGCCGCTCCAGATGCGTGAAGATGCCGCTGAAGTTGGGCAGGGAGCTCATCACCTTCCTGTCATTCATCAGCTGCATCAAATAGTCCGGGTTGGACTTGGGTCTCTCCTTCACCTCTGTCTCCCCGACCATGGCTTATGTTTCAACAATAAAAAAAAAAATGTGACTATAGATAGTTTACTCGATCAACTTTTCGGGGTGGGGGGGGATAGGGGGGGGGTGGGGGAATGAAAAAAAAAAAAAAAAAAAAAAAGACACGCCCCGACAAGCGATGCGAGGACCCAGAGAGGATTCCACCGGCTGTGACCCGCTCACCACCTCACTCTTCTCGGCTGATAAACTCAAATCTCAGCGCTGGATAAAATCGACTCTCCTTCGGTCAACGTTGCGTGTGTGTGCCCTCTCCTCGTCCAAATTTGGTCCCCCCTCTCTCTCCGACTGTCTCCAGAGTTTTAAAAAGTTCCTTTTTTTTAAGTGGGGGGGGGGGAGAGAGAGAGTTTGGCTCTGTTTGACACCTCACGCGACACTTTCACCGACTCTTCTTCTTCTTCTTCTTCTTCGGTGTGTAAAAAAAAAAAATCTCTCATGAACTCGTCTCCTCTGCCCCGGCTGCTCCGCTTGCTGTGTTGGTATTCTGCAGCGGGGATCGACTCCCTATCATATGATTACAGTATAGCAGCAGCACGAGTGGGCTGTCGGGAGCGCGCCGCGCGACGCCGCTATCAGAGGGGTGGGGGCGCCCTTTCTCTCACGCGCACACACACGCAATCGCGAGCACGCACACACTCTCCGCCCTGCTGTGTAACAATATAACAGCTCTGCATAGGTATGCACACCTGTTCTGCAACAGTCACTGTCCATCACTTTGTCCTTTAAAGTGTGTGTTTGTCTCAGATACTGCAGATACAGGCCGATCACTTCTGATCCCTTTTCCCACTTCAAGTTCTGCTGAGAAAGAAGGCCCGTCACGGATACATACAAGTCTCCATGGGGTTTGAGGTGGAGCTATAATTTAACTTCTTGTCTG